CCTCCTTTCCTCCCTTCCTCCCTTCCTTCCTTCCTTCCATCTGCCCATTCCTCTCTCCACTCAACAAGTACTTTTTGATCACTGACTAGGTTCCAGATGCTGTGTTAGGTACTGAGGCCTCGGTAATACAACAAGACAGGTAGAGTCCTTACCTTCCTAAAGCCTCCCTGCCACACACACACACACCCCTTGCATCACAGATGGGATTTACAAGTATTCTTGTTACTCCTAAAAGTGGTTTTCAGCACAAGAACCAGACCCCGCCTCTGCCGTGACCAGCAGCCTCTGCGTGGCCGCCTGTCTACCTGCACCTGTCCTGCTTTGTTCTCGCGTCGCCCGAGGACGGGCCCTGCTCTCCGCCTGCTCCTCTGGGCTCGCAGTCTCCCTCCCTCGCCGAGCCCTCTACCTGGGTCCCCACCTGCCCGGATGCCCTCGAGCCTGCCTCAGGTCTCCGTTCGGCCCATCACACCCGGGAGCAGAAGTGTGAATTCTACGAGCCAGGTGATACTTTCAAACATTTCTAATCCACGTTCACGGGAGTCACGTGTCCTTGGGGGGGAGAAGTCCCTTGAACGCGTGTGTTAGGAACCATTCGAATTTTAAATGAGTGGAGTGAGTATGACAAATTTATGGACACGTCGAAACAAAGAAATGGACATTTTAATGGCCAAACTATTTCCCTTGAACTCCCAGGCCGCTCCTCTACCTGGGGGTGATTCAAATACGCGGGCGAATCTGACTGTTGACCGCGCAGAGTGAGTCTCACTGGCTAAAATGAGCTCTCGAATCGCTGGGTTTCGAGCCGCAGCAGGGCACCGGGTCCCCTGTGACCACACTGTCAGACGCTCTCACCGCGCTGATTACCTGCGATTATCACCTGGTCAGGCTGTCAGGTGGCTGCCACTGGGCACCTTCTAATGGGCCGCAGTTCGTTAGCAGCCGAGCCACCATCCCCTTAGTCCTGATTTCATGCTTCGCCTCTTTTGTTTCCTTTGGTGCGATGGGATCAAGTCACCCCCAAATGTATAAACGCGTCTCCAGGCTGATGCGGGCAACTCACCCAGGACTCTGACTCTCGACGTGCCCGGGCAAGCCCCCAATTAATCTCACGGCAGGAGACCTTCTGTCCTCAGATGGAGATGGCTGTCAACTGCATGCGGTGCCCTAAACTCTGTCCAGCCATCCCGCTTCTCACCCTCGGGCTACTTTCTGGTGTTTTGTCCACTGTGTCCTCAGGTGAGGTGCCGAGCTCTGGAGCAGGACGGCCCCCCAGGAAAATCCTCCAGTCTCCCCCTGGTCACCCCTCGGTCACCCCTCTAGCATTGTGCTGCTCTGTGGTGTGGCCACAGCATGTGGGGCAGGAGTCACTGCTTGTCTTCAAACCCCACTTCCCCCAGTGCCCAGCACAGAGGGAGCTTGTTACGGGAGCTTGTTACAGTAACTCCTGCAGCATTGTCTGAATTGATAACATGTGGGTTCATGATGTTACTAATAGATACATAGAGAGAGAAACATAATCTCGATATTGAATAAACCGTTACGGCTTTTCTTGGTTGAAGTACAATCCGTGGACAGAAGACCGCTGTTAACCCCTACTAGTTTATTACGTGCCAGAGTAACTAATCCAAGAGGTTTGTATTAACTCACCAAACCCACCCAATACTTTAAAAACCCTCTTTTTCACCGGTGGGGAAACCGAGGCACGGAGAAATGAAACGTGCCCGAGGCCACACATCCAGCGACTGTTGTGCCACCGGAACCCAGGCCCCTGGGCGGGGCTGCAAAAGGCTTCTTTCTGATGCATTTACGCTTCAGCTCAGGAACTCCTGTCCTTCAATCTCCCAGGCCTCGCTTTCGGCTATTAGAATTCTCAAAAATATGTAACAACGCCTCACCGCCTTTTCTCTGCAGACGGGTATTATTGGTTCATTCAACATTTGCGAAGAGGAGAGAGGGCGTCAGGAGTGAAACGAAGGGGATGAAACACAGCAGAGCTTTTTATTGGTCATTTTTGTAATTGTTGTGCTTCCATCTAGTGGCCCGAGTGGGAAATAACGTGAACACGGCTTTACCGGCTCACATTTTAAGTCTGAGCTGCCTTAAGGGTAGTTTTTAAAAAATATTAAACTTTAAAAAAAATATTTAACCCTGACATTCACGGTTGTCATTCCTTTTTCTCTCACCTTTCTCACTGCTCCGTCTGCTACAATAATAGATCATGCTCATGCCCAGAATTCCTCTTTAATATCAAGTAAGAAGACGTTCGAAGAGACACGGACATCTTTTTATTTTACTTACGTGTGGTGTTCAGTGTGGTTTTGATCCCTGTAAATTTCTTCCGGACAAATTTTATTTTTGCCAATTCTTACTTGAATGACAGACGCACCGACTTTTCACATGTATCTCAGCTTGTTTATTTAGTTAGATGAGTGATCACAGGTAGACTCTGGGACCTGCAGCCTCACCTGTTCTGTGCGCAACACTTGTCCGCTCACCTGCACCCACCCGTGCTGACCGACGCCAGGGATTTCGGGTCAGTGGTCCCGGGCAGTCATTTATCGCTTCAGAAACCTATTGTCTCCCCATCAAAAGGGACCATAATATAGTTGCACCTGGAGGCCCACCAGTGCTCAAATTCAGCAAATTCTTGGTCCTGACGTCCATTCACAGACCGCTCAGGATATAATCCTCTGAATATTACGACACAGTTCAAGTTAGTTTCTGCCCTGTGTTGAAATTTAAAAATACCTGCAACCATTCCACTCCGCAGAGCAGGAGGCCGGTGCCGACACATCGTGATCCTGGCAGCTCTGGCCCTGTCCCCGCCGTGGGCTGTGTGGGCCTGAAGTGCATTTGTCTGGAAGCCTGTGCACGACTAGAATGACCCCCCGTCACACACACACGGAGCAGGGACACGGTGTGGTTTCAACACTCGAATGGACGTTTATAATAACCCAGCACTTTGAGCCCAGGGAGAGGTGGGGAGGAAGCTTTGAGTTGGATGATCATTGTGGGCACCGGTAATGGCCCAGACTGGGGCTGGGAGATTATGTTTTATTGCAGAGCTACCACCTGAAGCTAAAGAAATTCTTTTCCAAGGAGATCTGAACTAAATAAGACGAGCAAACACCAGCACCAGCCTTAATCACGCTGATCAAGGTATCGTTTAAGAAGGTATTGGTCCTGGGCTCTTCACTTCGTCACTGAATATTCACTGAATGCCTGTTAAGTACCAGGCACAGTACTAGGTGGCAAGGGGGACGAATGTCAGTGTCCAGGCTCCTATCCGTGCCCGATGGAGCTCACGGTCCAGGCTCCAGGCTCCGGGGCCCAGGGCGATAGCTCCCCTGAGCAGACGCCTTCCCTTAGGACGGCACGTGCCCCCCGCGGCCGGCACTGTTACGTGTGGGTCCCGCACAGCGTGCTCTGGACGCATCTCCCAGCCCTCCCGTGTGACCACGGCGTGACCGCCCGAGAGACTGGGCTGCACATCGCCGCTAATTGACGAAGGCCCCACGCCTCCTAGTTTCAAGGGATCTAATTAATATATGCCGCTCGCGCTGACCAGCCTGGTTCCACTTCACCCAGGCGGCCATCTATTAAATTACCTTCCCCTCCCAGGCCCCTGCCACCTGACTTCCCGCCTCCCGGGGCTCTCTCGGCCCCATAACCACTTTCGCTCTGCAGGCGGCCGATTGCTGCCGCCAGTGAGGTGGTGAAACACATCCAAGGTTGTAAATGGTCTGAAGGCCCAAGCGGATGGACTTGACGTGTTGGGCCCGGGTCAACCCATGTCCCGCAGGAGCACCTACGCTATGAACCCCAAATCCTAAACCAGCCTCAGACCCCTGGAGACCACCCCGCACGCTCAAATGCACGCCGACCGGTCCCCTTTGTCTGCAGCCCCCTCGGGTGCCTCCCCTGACTGCCTTCGCCCCTCCGATGCAGCGTCCGATCGCCCTCAGGACTTGGGTGCGTTGTCACCACCCCTCAGTCATCACACAGGCCTGTGAAGTTTCCCCGTTCTTTGTTCTCGGTTTTCATCCATTTTGCCCCGTGCAACCCTTTCCATTAAAAAACACCACGGCCGCCTTGCGTTCATGTCTTTATTAGTCTGCTGATCAGCCCCCCTCCTCGCCGAGCGCCCAGGTGCCCACCCCTGCGCGGGCCGGGGACTGTTAACCCCGCTCTTAACTGGGAAAGCAGCCGAGGCGGTTTGATTTTAACAAGCATGCAAACAACCAAAGTAGCAAAATTAAAAAGAAACGGGCCTCCTTCAGGCAAAGGAAATTATTAGGCTACAGCCAACCCCCTTTAGGAAGAAGAAATTAAAATACTGGGTCGTGCTTTTTTTTAAAAAAAACCTCCCTGTCGAACGTGTCTTCCTTTCACCGATAATCAGAACAGGTCATCTTTACAGGAGCTGGAATTTTAACACCTCGTGGGCCTCTTGTCGTTTTATTTGAGGGTAAAAACACATGAGGGTCTCGGTTCTTGGTGCCCACGGTGCCTGGTGTCACCCCTGCTCGTGTGCATTTGCTGCAAGACCCGCAACCCTGTGCACCTACGTGGAGTCGCTCGCGAGGCGTTGGGAGGGACACGTAACGTGAAAGCAGTGAAGCCGAAGCTCTGTGAGGGTCACGGCAGAGCAATGGTGCCGGCTGCCTTGTTTCTGTCCCTTTACTCGCCTACCTTGCTTCTTTCTGAAACACTACAAACGCTACTGGTGTAGGGAAGGTGATTATTACAAAGGCCAGGTGCCCCGTTCGGCCCTGCCCCCGGTAGCTTTGGTTTCTCGCGACGGCATCCCTCTCCTTCGCTGCTCGGGGCGGAAACTGAAAGACACGCGGGGCCAGGCGGTGCCGGAGGCGGGACAGGCCCCCCGGCGGCCCCTCCCGCGAGGGCTCATTTGAAGGAGGCTCTCACCACCCGGCCCTTGATGGGCTGCGGCGGGCGCCAGTTTCCCACCAGGGGCACCGGGGGCTCGTTCTCGGCGCTGGACAGAAGGCTGCGCAGCTTGGCCATCTGCGGGGGGCAAGGGCGGGCGGTCAGCTCCCCGCCGGCCGAGCGGTCGCAAGGCGCGGGTGACTGTTAGAAACCGGTGGCTTTCCCGCGAGACGCGGGGACCCGCGCGGCTCACCTGCTCGGAGCTCACGGTCATGGGCTCCTTGAGCAGCAGCCAGACGATGCACTCCTCGCAGGGCGGTGTGGTGAAGGAGCCGTGGTAGGTCCAGTAGTCCCGGCAGGCGGGGAACAGGCAGGACGGGTCGAAGTGGGTGAAGGGCACCTCCTTGCCCTGCAGAGCGGGGGGGGG